AATATAAATAAATATTTTATTATACAATACAGGTGATCTGTATTATATATTTATTAATAAAAATATCTAATAAATATAAAATTAATATCTAAAATTTAATTACTTAAAAATTTTTGGTTGGAACTAAGTTATATATATCATATACTTCTATATTATATTACTGAAAATTAAAAAAAATATAATAAAATATAGTAAAATTAATATTATTTCTTTATTTGTTATTTTATTAATAAAATAACAAATTTTAATATAAAAAACAATATTAATTTTATTATATTTTACTATTTTTTTCAATTTCTAATAATATAATATAGGAGTATATATATTAAAATATAAATAATTATTTATATTTTTATATAAAATTAAAAAATATTGATTATAAAATTAAAAACTTTTATATAAAAAATCTGTATTTTATTAATAAATTTTAATATTATTATATTTTATATTGTTATTAATAAATATAAATATAAATTTTTATTTTTATTTTTATAAAAAGTTTTTAATTTTAGATTATTTTGAAAAAGTTTTTTAATTACAAAATAATTTAATTAAAAATATAAAAAATAATAAAATTACATATATAATTTTTATTAAAATTAAAATTTTTATTTTATATATTAATAATCAAAATAATCAAAAATAATATAATAATATCAAAGTTTTTTTTAATAAATATAAGAAAATATAGATTTTTTTATATAAAAGTTTTTAATTTTACTAATAAATACTTTTTATTTTTATATTAAAATAAAGATAATATTATATATTTTATATATAATTTTTAGATTTAATTTGATTAAGTTGTTTTAATTGCATATAAAATTAATATATAAAAAAATTATTGACTTTATATATAATTAAAACAACTTAATTAGATTAAATCTAAAAATTTGAAAAAATATATATATTAAAAGTAAAAACTTTTATATAAGATAAAAATTTCAATATTTATTATATTTTATTAATAAATTTTAATATTATTGTATTATTTTTGATTATTATATGTGCAATTTTATTAATAATTTTAAGTTATATTTTAATATATATTTTTTTTGAATTTTTTAAATTTAATCTGACAAAGTTATTCTAATTGCAAATTATTACAAAAATTTTTTATAATTAATTTTATATTTTAATTATAAAACATTTTTATAATAATTTTGTTAAATTAAGTCTAAAAAATCTAGAAAAAATTTATATTAGAATATAACTTATAAGATAAAAAAATATTTATTAATAAAATTAAAAACTTTTATATAAGATAAAAATTTCAATATTTATTATATTTCATTAATAAAATTGCATATATAATTTTATAATTTTGTTATTGTATAAATATATAATACAAATTTTTATCAAAATTATTTCATAATGAAAATAAATCAATTTTATTTTTAAAATTATATTAAATATTATTTATTTATTTATTGCAACAAATTAAAATGAATCAAATTCAAATAAAATTAGTAATAAATTCAATATTATACTTTATATTCTAAATTTACACTAAATAATTTTTCAATTTATTTATTAATAAAATTACAAAAATTTAACAATAAAAAGTTAATTGTATTATTAATATTATTTAGTTAATATAATACTTTTGTTACTTAAATTTATCCAAAACATTAATAAAATAAGTTTTTATCAAAATTCAAACCAGGTAATTATCATTTGGTTTTGACATAATTGGATTTGATTTATTAAAAAATATTTTATTATTATTTATAAATTTGAAAAATAATTGGTTTTTAACTTTTTTATAATATTTCTTGTAAACTTGCTTGCAAACTGGATAAGTTAACACAGAATAAATATTTTTATGAAATAACCTGATCTATATAAAATATGAGAATAATTAAAATTATGAATTGAAAAAACAATAATTTTTATTTATTGAATTATCAAGTTGAATTTTTAGTTGTTTTACTTGATTTTCACAAATCGTGCTTTTTGAACTATAATTTTCACCAATGAAAACGAGTTTGTGACTTGAGCTATACTTTTTACTTTTTATCCCAATTCACTAATTGACAATAGTATATATCACAAAGAGAATCTTCTACAGACAAACTGAGATTATGTTCTTGATATAAAGGAGCATCTTAAGCTTTTGTAAGTACATGTACTGAAAAGTTTCAGCACTTCTGATTTGAGTACAGACTGCATATACTAAAGAGAATTTATTCTTTATTTAAAATTCTAAAGAAAATGGATTAAGAAAAGTCGTGAGATAGGATGACGTTTCAATTATGCATACAATGGAGAATTTCAATTGGACTGCATAATGGTATATGAAAGGAATTGTACATTGATAAGAGTACTTGACGCTCATTACCAGTTTAGTTAACGTTGATACGATTTGGGCAATGAATCGAATTGTTGATATTTGCCTTGAATCATATTTCGAGGCACAACATGCATGTCTAACCACGCCCGCTAGATTACAACGATAAAAAAAGCTCTTTCTTTCTGTCTATTTGATGATGAAGGTACATTTCAATAAAATTCTTGCTGCTCCATTCACTTTCTTTACAAATCAAAATCATAAAAATCTTCCGCCACCTTTTAAAGTATTCACAATACCCGTAATATTACTGGCTTTGTTTATATTGTATAGTTTTTCGTACACTTATCATCTTTATCAAATATCCGAGCCAAAATTAATTCAAGGCGACGAAACCAACACATTGACACAAGAGAAGATTAATGGTTCGGAAACAACAATTAATGGCGATGTAAAATCTACCGATCAGATTTCTTCTGGTGATAGTAAAGAACAACACACATCTAGTACTATTGTGGATGAAAAATATCTGACTTATCTACCACACGGCCACTTCCATAGTCAACGTATCGCATTAGAGAATGCTCTGATTCTCGCATGGATGCTAAACCGAACTTTGGTAATGCCACCGATATTACTCGGTGTGGTCCAACAATATAGTCCTGCTCCAGTACTAGGGAATCAATTGCAACAATATAATACCAAAAAAAATGTCACAGACTGCGCGAAATTCAAAAATGAAAAGAAACGAGCAAAATGCCTTGATCGAGTAAACGCGTATACTTTATATCCATGGGATAAATTGATGGATATGAAATTCATCAAAGATCATGTGAGAATTGTTCATCGTCCTGATTTTATTTTAACAAATCTTAAAACGCAACTGAATATCGAAAATGACAAGGACATTTACTTTCCTGATGACACTTCGCGACATTATTATCGAATTTATGATACATCCGAGTCGGAAATTGGACTTGATAAGTACGAAACACGACTCTTAAAATCGACTTTGGAAAAGAATGATGTGAAATTACTACATTTTAATAGTTTAAATGGGAAAACGCGTCTAGTCCTCGAACAAAAAAACAATACCGAGTTTTCAAGACAATTTTATCGTAAATTTATAATCGATACACCTGAAATTGTGATTGCTTCTGATCGAATAGTGACGCAGTTGGGCGGGGTTGGAAATTATATAGGATTAAATGTGATCAGCGAGAAGGAATATTTCAAATCATTATCAGGAAAAACTGGAAAAAACATCACTAAATTAGTAAAAGAAGAAGCAAAACAATTCAAACCAAGATACGAGTCTACATCAACGCGAAAAAAGCAACATGCCACATTGGCCGGAAAATGTCGGTCAACATCTGTTAAATCGGAGACTGTTGTATATCTGGCAACTGATGAGGAAAAAATACATGAACAATTTGCACCATTGTTTCTTAATTTTCCATGCACTTTTACTTTGTTAAACTTTGAGACTCGTGTGAGAGAGCTAAAAAACTTGACGAACCTGGTAGATGGTGTTAATTTATATAAATTTTTGAAGCCGATACTTGACTTGACCATCGCTGCTAAAGGTGGAAAATTCATTGGATCGGCAGATAGCGCTTTTTCTATGTATGCCAAACGTCTACATGACCTTACAATAGATGTTTGATATTGTCATTACTGTACACATAAAAACAAACATGTTTATTTGTTTAAAGTGAGATAAAGGCCATGATAAATAAAAAACTAGTCTTCAGCTTTGTTATTTTCTTCACGTCTTGCAATTTGTTGGTGCGAGTGTCTGGACTGCAGGTGTGTAGTGCTGATGGTGCCATTGTCGCCGTAAAACCTGCATTTAACCCGAAAGAGTATAGAAAAGTTGAGGATTGCCTCTCTTCAACGGGTGCAGAAATCATTTTCCCCTCGGATTCCAGCTATGAAGAAGCGAGACTTGGGGAAAGGATAAGGTAAAAGTTGTGCTTGTGAATTTTTAGGGATTTTGTATTGACAAACTACATATTCTTTGCTACAATATAAAGAGTCCAACACTTTCCTGATGCTGTCGCCTTTCCCACAAATTCGACACAAATCCAAGCATTAGTTCTTTGTGCGAACGCGTTTCAACGTAAACCGGTGCCGAGAAATGGAGGTCATAGGTAAGTTCTCAAAAACATGTGTCATAAGAATAATTCAATATGCGAGTGTATCACTTAATGATTGATTTCTAAATCATTGTTTTTAGTTATGAGAGCTTTTCATCACGTAATAATTCAATCGTAATTGATATTAGCAATATGGTTGATGTGACCATCGACGAGGTTGCAAAGAAGGCTACAGTTGGTGCTGGTATTCGTCTTGGTCCATTGTATCTACAATTAGGTCGAAAAAATTTCACATTTATTGCGGGTACATGCCCGACTGTTGGATTAACGGGTATTATAGCTGCAGGGGGGTTTGGCCCACAATCAAGAAAATATGGGGTTAGGTAAAGATTATTTCTGCTTTTTGTAAATTGGCATTATATTGTCTAGAGTTTAATCAAGTTAATAAAGTTCATTATAAATTAATCTAAAACAGCGGAGATCTAGCTCTCTCAGTTCAAGTAGTCACGGCAGATGGTAGTTTACTTATCGCCAACTCCAGCCAAAATTCAGATTTATTTTGGGCTTTAAGAGGTGGAGGAGGAGGAAGTTATGGAATTGTTACTCAGTGGACATTGAGTCTTATTCCAGCTTGGCAACAAAACACTATCTTTCAAATAAAATATCCAATCAAGTCGGCTCAACAAGGACTTAAATTATGGTCGTCTTGGGCACCTGACTCGCCCGAAAATCTTACCACAGTGTTGGTTATGAGCAAAGGTGACGGATTCACAATAACTGGTCATTTTTTAGGTGCTTCAGATCAGCTAAAGACTATATTGGACGCGAGTGGACTTCGGAATCTTGACGGGAAACCATCAAACGAGAAGTATAAGGAGACCAATCATTTAGGTGTGCGTGTATATTTTGCTGGAGAAGATGACGTGTCAAAACAAAGTGTTCTAAACATTGGTACATCACCATTTACGAGTAGTTCTAATCAACTTGACGCGACAGTTGGAATAATATCAGATTATCCGCCTGGTCCTAAACAACGGCGCGAACTCGAAAAAACAAAAGCAATGTTTTTTAATGAGTCTTTCACCTTGGAGCAAACCAAAATTATTGTAGAACTGGTCAAATCATGTCCCGGTGATGCATACGCTGAATTTGATGTTTATGGTGGGATATTCAGCAAACAACCCTCGAATTTAACTGCTTTTGTGCATCGATCAAATACAAAGATCGGGGTACAAGTGAGTGTATTTTTAACTGGTGACACAAAAAAAGATAAAGGACTATTGGATTGGATCAAATCTTGGGATATTCAAGTGAGAACTTTCTCTAATGGTTTAAGTTATCAGGTACATATATATATATATATTTTTGTTAAATGGATCTTTTGTTATTATCTATTAATTTAACACTTAAATTTTTCGGATAGGGTTATGTCGACGCTGATCTCACTAATCCACAAGAAGCTTACTTTGGAAGTAATCTTCCACAATTGCGAATTATTAAAGCAAAATACGACCCTAACAACACATTTTTAAATCCGCAGTCAGTATTGCCCGCAGTCGGAATAAATGCGTCTAACACGTGTTTAAATAACAATAGTGAAAACGGCACACCGAATGGTACGAATAACAATAGCAATAGTAATCAAACTCAAAGCACATCATGGACTATAATGATATTATTTATTTTGACTTTAGTAATGTTTTAAAAAAAACTATCAATTCTTCAAATGAAAAAAAATCCATTAAAAAATTCTTGGTTTATTTATAACGTAATATGATTCTTGAATCAGCTATTGAATCCTAGATAGACAACACCCCAACGATAACGAGAATTGAAACCCACATAAATCTTAGATTTGAAATGACCGATTTAGCGGATGTACTAACCACTTTGACATCGGCGCATTCGTACCAAGTGGTATTGCCATCATCCGATTTGTATACTGCTTGAATGACACCATCTTGCCCAATAGACGCGTTAGCTTTACTGAGGTCGAGAATGGTGGTTGGATTGAATTTTTGGTTTTCATCTTCCTTCATTGCGACGATGACGGGAGATTCTTTATTAATTTTAAGAGAATAAATTAATGACCACCACGTTATCGATTGAATAAAAGCTAATTGATTGATAGTCACTTACCAGATACTGGCATAAATGTATCATTAGATGTTTTAGCGAAATAGTAATTAAGCTTGCCATTACCGTCGCCAAAACTAACGGTGACTTGACCCTCTATTTAATTATTATAAAAACAGTTACAGCGTGAATCACCTGAAATTATTATTATTATTATTACCGTATTTTACCGTGCAAGATATCCCACGTCATACTATACCTCCTTAGAATGGTACCCGGAGTATTTGCACGGTAAAATGCGGTATTATGAAATGCTTACTAATAGGGAACTCCAATTTAGAGGTTGTATTGACTTCGTTGGCTCCAGCGCATGGCGGAATGGTTATGTCCATGGTACTTCTGGGTGGTGGATTCAAAAATTTAAAGTGCGCGGAAACTGATGACATTTGGAAACTGATAATTACAAGCAAGAGAAGAGTTTGTTTATTGAACATCATAACGGTTATTTTTCAGTTGATAGCTGTTTTAACGGGTGGGTCCTTAAATAAAAGAATTGTGAATTTCGTTATTTTCGTCTCGAATTTTTGGTCTGTATGGAAAAGGGTAAAGAAAATGAGAAATATTTGTCAAGCCTTTATAAGTAATGATACAAACAATATGCGGTATAGTACCGATGTGTTAATGACTTCTATTTGTCAAAGAACTCAAAAATTTTTTGCTTTTTCTATTTCACCTCTGATCATAACTTGTGAGGTATTGCAAGGTGTAGCAAATAAATTTCTTGTTTTTAAAGAATTCTTTTGCATAAGTTAACGATACTGTATTTGGCTTTTAATCTGGTCAATAGTTTCCTTAAACGAACGTTTTTATATGATTGATGTCGTTCACAGCACACAAAGCAAGTAAGCGTAAGCGCGGTACAAAATTTTACTCGACTAAAATTTACTCATTCCAATATTATTGGGTTTGGCGTAAAAATCGGAACTGTGTTAACCCATTGTGCAATTGAACACGAAAATAAATTCGTACGTATGTTAGTGTTTGATGGTATTCTCTCGATATTTTATGAATTTTACACCATCAAGTTCGATTATACACTATTAAGGTATGGTATATCGATAGCAAATCAAATTATTTACCAAAATGTTCGATCATACAATAAATTACCGGAAATCCAAAAAAAATAAAACAGTAAAAATTATTTTATCACAACGATATGTCCAGTGTCTAGAGGTCCCAAAGAGGACATACTGCTACTAGATCATTTTCTGTACATAGTAGTCGTCGTCCACCAAACTTTTCTGTCTGGTCCACGGTGAACCTTCAAATTTTTATTCCTCAGTCACGGTAAAAAAATAATGAGACCGTTGAGCTAATTAAGAAAGAGAACGAGCTCGATTTCGATAACTTTGCAACAAGGAAACTCAGGTTATGGATCGTTAATATATCTTTCATCTCGCCAACCTCGATAGCCCCAACGTAGACATTGTGAATACGCTGAATGTCCAGGAGTTTCTTCCTCCAAACAAAGTTGGAAATATCTTTGCTACGCCACGCATTTTTGAAATCTTTGCCAGGTTATTTGTTGCCGGAAAATCCGATCTGTATTACGTTGATCGTCATCCGACGGAACTTATACAGTCAACTCCCGTATTTTGGGATGCGTTAAAGCGTTGTGAATGCGTGATACGTGTTTATCACAGTTAAAGGTTGATTTTAGCGTTAGGGTTAAAGTGGAGGACTAGAGTATATGTAGAATTGCCTTCCCGACGTTTTTAATTAATGCTCCAAGGCATACATTTTCCATATTTTTCATTTTTACGTTCGTGATTCGGATTTGTTTTTCCGAACTCAAAACGCGCGTTAGCGCTTCCCGAATTTGGCACATCCAAATTTTTCTATTTATTTAAACTCAAAAATTTCACTTTCATTGATTTATCAAATCTTACTAATTGTTATGTTAACAATTTTTAATTGAAATAATGTGACTTGTTCCAAATTTTAATTTAACCAAAAAGTTGATTTTTAACATTTGCAATGCTTTTTGAAAAAGCCATATAATTTTAGTCACATAATACATAATTAACAAGTGATAATTAATATAACCAATAAAATCAAAAATAATAATAAGATAATTTGATTGGTTAAAAATAACGATGCAATTTAATTGATCAAAGATAATATAATATAATTTGATTGGTTTATACAAGTCACATTTTTTATTTGACATGTTTTATTAATGGATTGGATTTACCCATACTATTGGTACTATATTGTGACACATTTTGACAGCAATTATCTACTAATTTAATATATATATTAATCATACTTTTAAATATTTTTCAAATATATATATATATATACTAAAAGTTTTATATTATTAAATATATTTTTTTAAAAAATAAAATTTCTTGAAATTTTTTGACAATTTATTTTTGTTTTAGTAATTTTATGATTTTGTAATTAAAATATTCTATATTGTATTACATGCAACATAATAAAAATTTCAAAAAATAACATGTTCTAAAAAATTTTCTTGATTTTATTATTAATTAATATCAAATTAAACCAAGTTTAAATAATATTAGAGTATTTAACAGATTTTTGTATATAAAAATATTTAATTTTATAACTTTTTAAATATTTTATATATTTTTCAAATTGTATTATATATAGTATAAAGATTTAAATTTAATTTAATTTATTAATTATATATAAAAATAATTATTTTTAAATCAATATAAATCAAAAATAAATAATATTTTTTTAAAAAAATTGCTAAGATATATAATTAAATTTTTTTATTTATATTTATTTATTTATCTATAATTATTTTCTATTTATAATAGCAATTAAAAATAATATAATAGTATCAAAATTTATTAATAAAATATAGATTTTCTTATTATATAAAAGTTTTTAATTTTATTAATAGATATTTGTTATTTTTATATTAAAATAAAGATAATATTATATATTTTATCATATAATCAAATCTCTCTATAGTCATCACCTTTGTGAAAGCAAAATTTGGTAACTATAAAAAGAATATAACTATAAAGAAATTTTTTTTACTATATTTATATATAAATAAAAAAGCAAAATAGGATGATTATAAAGAGATGTGACTATAAATGTGCATAATTATAAAGAAATTTGACTATATATTTTTTTCAAATTTTTTAGATTTAATTTAATCAAGTTATTTTTATTATATATAAAATCAATAATTTTTTATAATTAAAACATATTGTTATATAATGGATTTCACATTAATTATTAATTAAAATTATCATTTAATCTTATTGGATAATTTTGAGAACACATGTTTATATTTTAATTAGTTAAGATCTTTATATTTACATCTTGTATTACATTATTATTTATATTATTTTTTTTATTGCTGAAGTGTAGTCTTGTTTATAGTAATATCTAATCTAGTATATACAATATAAAGGATAAGAAATAAATTACTATAAACTATCAAAAATCTATATTGAAAGAGTTCAGTACGACTAGTCACCAGTGATTTGTTGAAGCTTACACAGAGTCCAAAGAATTTATCATTAACATTATTATTTATATTATATTTATATTATTATTTATAAATAATATATAGATTATTTATTTAGGTTATATTAAATTATCTATATTTATACTAGGTCACAAAACAAGTGAGCAAATAAGTGAGTAAACAAGTAAGCAAGTGAGCAAACAAGCAAATAAGCAATTTTCTTATAAATATTGATAGTTTTGATTTAACAATTTTATATAAAAGAAATATGTATTTTAGCTTAGAAAAGTCAATTAATAAGTCAGTCAATTAATCAATCAATTAGTTAGTCAGTCAAGTTTTAGATATTATTAATTCAAAAATAAACTCCTTTGATAATAATGCCCTTTTAAAACTAACACATTTAGAATATTTAAATATTTCTTTTATTATTTTATTATTTAAGTTTTTAGTTTTGTTATAATCTCTCATATATTTGTGATATTATATTTATAATCTCTTACATGTTTGTAATATTATATTAATGATCTTTTACACGTTTATAATGTTATATTTATAGTTTGACCTCTCACATATTTGTGATGTTATATCATTAAAATAATTTAATAAATTGAATTTTTAATATTTTACTTATCTATAAACATTGTCATAATTATCTTATTAAATATATATTAAATTATAAGAAGATTTCTTAAGTCACTTTTTAGCTGACTAATAATTTAATGAATACATGTTATCACCTTTAGTTATTTATCTTATCTCTTTCATTTGACTTGAAATATATATTGAACACATAAAAATATATATTATATTTAAAATTTAAGTAAAACAATGATAATATATAATACATCAGCAAATTTCTGATACGGTTGGAAATCGATTGCCAACACCCCCACCGATTATTATCAATTGTTGATCAATCGATAATAATCAGTTTTTTTTATTATCGTTTACAAACGATAGCAATCGTTTGTAAACGATAGAA